TTTTGGTAATTCACTAACTCCCATGTGTTCTTTATTTCAGTTGCTTGTAACTTTTCAACCATAACAGACTTCCACTTCAAATTCTTTAAAGCCTGCTATAGTTGATTGGTTCAACACCTGCAAGTAGAGCAAAATGAACTAATTCTCCATCTGGTGTGAATTCATCATCACCAGTCACTTCGTAGTCTTAAAGTCTTGTTAGACAAACTCTAGCTCTTTGAGGTCTTTGGCTTATGCTAGCCATATTTTTTCCGACTTTAATTGTATCAGGAATGTCAGTAACGACTTCGACTTCTACTGGAATATTGACAATATCATCAACTTCGACATCATTACTTGCTTCGTGGAAATCATAGCTTATCAATGGCTTGTTAATTGGATCACCAAAACTCCAATCACAGACTGAGTTCTCATCAATCACAATGTCTCGACTCATCATGATCTTATTGTTCATTGGATTAAATAGCATGTATGTTTCAGTCTTATGATATCTTACCAGAATCATAGGTTCATTATTATCATCAAGCTTCCTTCTCATAGCATCAGGAATATATTTGTAGCAAATAGAGCGAAACACCTTTAGATGACTCAATAATGGTCGTTTGCTACTCCGTACTTCTTCAGGAACCTTGTTCTTCAGCTTCTTAGTAGGGCACCTGTTGAGAATATAAATAGCAGTGGGAACAAATTCACCCCATAAGAATTTTGGCAAATTCTTCTGCTTTAGCATGCATCTCGGCATGTCCAATATGGTCGTGTTTCTTATTTCTGTTAATCCATTATGTTAAGGCATATAAGGAGCAACTACCTCGTGATCAATATCATGTTTTGCACTAAACTCTTCAAACATCTCTAATGTATATTCGTCGCCTCCATCTGTTTACAGAATCTTGATCTTCTTTTCACTCTGATTTTAGACAAGTATTTTGAATCTCTTAAAGATTGCAAATACTTCGTCCTTTCGCTTGATCACATAAATCTAAAGCTTTCGACTATACTCATCGAAAAATGAAAAAAAATATTTGTTTCCACCAATGGTATAATCCTCAAACGGGCCACATACATCTAAATGTACTACTTATAGTATTCAAGAGGATATAATTGGCATAGTTGAAACGAAAGACTTTCTAGATTGCTTTCCGACTAGGCAACCTTCATAGAGTTTGTCGAGTATCTCAAGACTTGGTATAACAATTACCATATCTTGAGTAATCAGTTGATTGAGTGATCAAGAGTTTAAATTTCCAAACCTTAAATGCCATAGCCAACTATGCTTGTGGTCTACAGCAGTTTTTAGACATTGTCTTGAATGTCCTATTCTTCGACAAAGGAGATTTCAAGACTAAATTATTCTGAGTGTCAAACAATTCCAAGGCTCCATCTTTCATAATCAATGAGAAACCTTTTTCTACCAATTGTCCAACACTTAACAGGTTGCATTTCATTTTAGGTACATGGAGTACAACTTTGATCATAGTTTTTCCTTCATTGCTCCATTAAATAACTATGTCACCGGTAACTTCTGCTTGTAACAAGCTATTATTAGCAATTTTGACATTGCTCTTCTTCGACGAGTCAAAACCTGCTAACCACACGTTTTTACCAGTCATGTGATTCGAGCATCCCGAGTTGAGGAACCAGATCTTGGAGTTGACATGGTCATATGCAGTTGCAGCCATAACCATCATATCTCCATAATCATCTGAATCTTGGTGTGCAAAGTTTGCTCCTTCCTCCTTGCCTTTTGACGTTCCCTTGTCTTTATTATTCCAACAATTATTGGCTACATGACCCCATTTTTCACATTTATAGCATCGCACACCTTTTTTTCTTTATCTTTTTGATAGGAGTTTCCTTCCCATCTTTATCTTCCCATCGAATTTATGTTTTGTAGGGTTCGACCAAGACTTCTTACTCTAAGTCTTGTCTCTTTGTTGGAACCACCGTGTTTCTTCCAAGCATGAGTCTGCAGTGCTTGTATCGAATTTTGAACCCATTTCCTTTTGACAATTCTAATCTCATGCGCCTATAATGAACCAGCCAAATCTTCCAGTTTCAGAGTTTCAAGATTGTTGGATTCTTGAATAGCTACGATAATATGATCAAACTTAGAAGTCAATGTACGCATTACCTTCTCAACTATCATCTTATCATTTAGGGTTTCACCACAACCCTTCATGAGATGGACGAGATTATGCACCTTCGACACATAACCTACAATCTTTTCATCTTCTCTCATTTGCAACAGTTCATATTTCTGTCATAAAGTTTGTAATTTGATGACTTTGAATTTCTCACCTCTTTCATAGTACTTGGTAGGAATATCCCATGTTTCTTTCTCTAATTCAGCATGAGAGATCTTATCAAAATTCGTCGAATCTACCGCCGATTAAATGCAATACGCAATCTTGCAATATTTCTTCTTAGCCTAGTGGTCTACAACAAATTTTAGACATTGTCTTGAATGTCCTATTCTTCGACAAAGGAGATTTCAAGACCGAATTATTCTGAGTGTCGAACAATTCCAAGGCTCCATCTTTCATAATCACTGAGAAACATTTTTCTACTAGTTGTCTAACACTTAACAGGTTGCATTTCATTTTAGGTACATGGAATACATATTTGATCATAGTTTTTCCTTCATTGCTCCTTTAAATAACTATGTCGCCGGTACCTTCTACTTGAAACAAGCTATTATCATCAAGTTTGACCTTGCTCTTCTTCGACGAGTCGAAATCTGCTAACTACACTTTTTGACCAGTCATGTGATTCGAGCATCCCGAGTTGAGGAACCAGATTTTGGAGTCGACATGGTCATCTGCAACTGCAACAAAAACCACCATATCTTTATAATCATCTGAATTTTGGTGTGCAAAGTTCGTTCATTCCTCCTTGCCTTTTTTCGCTCCATTGTCTTTATTGTTCCAACAATTCTTGGCTACATTACCCCATTTTTCATATTTATAGCGCCACACATCTTTTTTTCTTTATCTTTCTGATAGAACTTTCCTTCTCCTATTTTCGAGGATTCAGAAGCCCTATCATCGACCTTATGTTTTTTAGGATTCGACCAAAACTTCTTACTCTAAGTCTTGTCTCCTTTACCTTTGAACTTGTCGGAACCACCACGCTTTTCCAAGCTCGGGCCTACAGTGTTTGTATCAAATTTTGAACCCATTTCTTTCGACAATTCTAATCTCATGCGCCTTCAACGAACCGACCAAATCTTCCAGTTTCAGAGTTTTAAGATTGTTGGATTCTTGAATAGTTACGGTAATATGATCAAAGTGAGAAGTCAATGTACACATTACCTTCTCAACTATCATCTTATCAGTTAGGGTTTCACCACAACCCTTCATGAGATGGACGAGATTCTGCACCTTCGGCACATAGCCTGCAATCTTTTCATCTTCTCCCATCTGCAACAATTCATATTATCATCGTAAAGTCAGTAATTTAACGACTTTGAATTTCTCACCTCTTTCATAGTACTTGATAATAATATCACATGCTTTTTTCTCTTATTCAACATGAGAGATCTTGTCGAAATTCACTTAATCTACCGCCAATTGAATGCAATACACAACCTTGCAATCTTTCTTCTTGGTCTCCTTGTTCACGACTCTTTGAGCATTAATTGCATTCTAAGCAAGCTCAGGGACACCATTAATAACCACTTCAATGGTTTCATGAAAGCCAAACAGAGATTGCATATGTTTTCTCCATCAAACCTACAAGAATTGGAAGATAATTCAGAATGTCGTTGGTGCCATTCATCTTTGCACCAAACGCGATCAACAACCCACGATCCTGAAACACGATCGTAGACGTGTGATTCTTAAAAACAAGATCAAGAATCTAACTATACTTTGATATCAATTTATTAGTGTGTGAGACACTTTTAGTGAGGAGAGAAAGAGATAGAATTAGGAAATAAAGATTGATATTATTCAATATGATTGTGTTATAATTGAATTATAAAGCATCTATTTATATACACCTAAGTGACTTGACTACTAAGTAACAAATATAAAAAGCTAAGTAACAAACCCTAAATCCTAATTATCCTTGGGCTTGAGCCACACACAACTTGGATTATATTGCTTATATCTCAACACTCTTCAAGTTTCACTCCGAAGAGTTCGTACTTGTGAGTTAAGGTGTTCAACATTGTGCTTTTTACCTCAATAGTTCTTTCATGGGTAATTTGGAGGATGTCTCATATTTCTTTTGCAATCTTGCAGTGAGAAACTTGCAAAAATTCATCAAGACCGATAACGATAGTGATGACAGTTTTTTTATTTCAAATTGCGCTTCACATTTTATTTATTTTCTCACTGGTTCATTCCTTTTCAAATTTGTTTACTATAACACCATCGACATCATATTTAGAAACAAATGGACTTCCTTTCACATCCTTTCAAATACTAACCATTCATCCCTTCTATGAAAAACTTTATTTTCTATTTTCATAAATTGTATCCTTCTCCATTCAAAGAAAGGGTTTACCACTTATTTACATTGTACAATTCAAACATGAATATGCTCAAATTCAACAATCTAAAATAAATTGACACAAATAAGTGATTGATAAAAAACAAAATAAAAATATAATACTAAATATTTAAAAGTCACATTAGTGTAATATTCTGACAAAAATGACTTTGTAAATTATCATTTGAAATACAAATTTTGTATTTAAAAAAAAGTTCTTAGTAAAATTTAAAAAGAAAGGGGAAAAATGGTAATCATAAATTTCTATTTATAAATAAACATGAGATATATTAATTTGGTCCGCATTATAGGATACAAAGGCTTTAAAATTAGTTATGAGTTTTAAAATATGAAAAGCATTTTAGTCAATTTCAAATTTTTTTTAGAAGTTTAAGTGGTGTGAAAAGAAAATATTCCAAAGGCCCATTGCAACTCTCGTTCTCATGTCACGTCATGCCATGTGCCACTGGCAGTGAGATCATGGTTCAAGCAACCAACGTTGGCTCATGTCCCGGTTGTTCTTCCCATGCCGTCGTTGTTTCTCTACCGCAACCGCTTCCGCCACCGCCACCCAACCATCTATCACTAACGGTAACGACCCAGTTACATTTATAGCCACGCTCTTGTCTAAAACTACTCGTATACAACAATTGAACCAAATATACGCCCACATTCTCCTAACGCGCTTTTTGGAATCCAATCCCGCTTCTTTCAATTGGAACAACATCATCAGGTCTTACACTAGGCTAGAATCGCCTCAAAACGCGCTTCGTATCTATGTTTCGATGTCGCGTGCCGGGGTTTTCCCCGACCGGTATACTCTTCCGATTGCTCTTAAGGCAGTGTGTCAATCTTTTGCAATTGAGCTTGGTAAACAGGTTCATTCGAATGGTATAAAGCTTGGGCTTCAATCCAATGAGTATTGTGAAACTGGGTTTATAAATTTGTATTGTAAAGCTGGTGATTTTGATAGTGCGTGTAAGGTGTTTGACGAAAATCCTGACCCAAAGCTTGGTTCTTGGAATGCTGTAATTGGTGGGTTATCACAAGGTGGACTTTCCATGGATGCTATACATGTGTTTCTTAATATGAGGAGGCGTGGATTTGAACCGGATGGGATTACCATGGTTAGTGTTACATCGGCTTGTGGAAGTGTTGGCGACTTGTACTTGGCATTGCAATTGCATAAATTTGTTTTTCAGGCGAAAGCTAGCGAGAAGACTGATATTTTAATGTCGAATTCGTTGATTGATATGTATGGAAAGTGTGGGCGGATGGACTTGGCTTATAGAGTTTTTGCAGAGATGGAGGAACGGAATGTGTCGTCGTGGACATCAATGATTGTGGGTTATGCGATGCATGGACATGTGAAGGAGGCTCTTGATTGCTTTCGGTGTATGAGGGAGTCGGGTGTGAAGCCTAATTATGTGACTTTTATTGGAGTGCTCAGTGCTTGTGTGCATGGAGGGACGGTTCAAGAAGGAAGATTTTACTTTGATATGATGAAGAATGTTTATGGCATAACACCCAAACTGCAACATTTTGGATGTATGGTGGATTTGCTAGGTCGGGCGGGATTGTTCAACGATGCGAGGAGAATGGTGGAGGAGATGCCCATGAAGCCGAATTCAGTAGTATGGGGGTGTTTGATGGGTGCTTGTGAGAAATATGGGAATGTGGATATGGCAGAGTGGGTAGCTGAGCATTTGCAAGCATTGGAACCGTCGAATGAAGGCGTTTACGTCGTTCTGTCAAATATCTATGCCAATAAAGGCTTATGGAAGGAAGTGGAGAGAATACGATCATTCATGAAAGAAGAAAGTCTTGCCAAGGTTCCTGCTTATAGCATCACAACAAATTCAGATTGAAGATTCAACAATAGTTATTTTATAGCATTGGGGATTTTTCAATCAATTGTATTTGTAGTTTATGCATGTATCAAAAACAGAACCTTTAAATTCTCTATGGAGAATTACATCATACATGTTTATGAATTATAGAAAAAAACACATCCTCTAATCCTAGTATTAGACCTTCTTAAAATTTTTTTTAATGATATCTGTCATCTATAACCTTTTGTTTGTAATGATAAACATATTTACAATCTCTTGAAACTAAGCTATCTCCAACTATTTCTTGATTGCAATTCTGAAGTATCAACATAAGTAGTAGTTTCCATGTCTATTTATTTGCTGTCTTGTGTTGCATTCATCAATCCTTCCAAGTTCATTTCGACATCATTATCTTCTCCATTTTTGACATCAGAAGCATTGATCTTTTTAAGCCAATTTACTTTGCTAAAAGTTGAAATGTTTTCTTCATTACTGTCGGGCGGAACACCATTTTCATCATGAAAGCTTTGAACCTCGTCTATTTCCTCCATTATTACACCAGCATTTGCAGCACTCGCCACCACGTTTTTATGCATCTCGTTTCCCTCCTCTTTAATTTCGGTTTCTTCATTACTGTAGGGTGGAACACCATTTTCATCATGATAGCTTTGGATTTCATCTATTTCCTCGGCTCCATCAGATACATGATCCATTCCACTAGCTTCTCCAACAGAATCAACCTTTGACTCAGGAAGAGATCTTTCATACAATCGCGTCACTATCCCTTTTCGTCCCAACAATTTTATTCCACCACATCCAAGCTTGGTTTGACCGCCATAATTCTTTGTTTCTGTCTGCTTGATCTGATACAGCAACCAAACAGAAAACACCAAAACTATCATAAACTTCAATACCTGTTTTATCTTAGACCCTTTTGGTTTTTGGTACCTTCCAAAAGATTGATCCTCCATTCTTCTGCATTAGTTAAACATCCTCTAAAAATCAAATCAATTCTATTATTATATACTAAGTTTTACAATTTCAACAAGAACAAGAGAGTAGAATATTCCAACCAACTATATATACATCAATGAATTAATAATTAGATAAAAACAAACAAGCCCAACAAACCAAAACGTAGGGAAAGAAAAGTGTATATTTCACTGATCATCAAATCAATAGACAAATATGATTGATGGGAATAAAAAATAAAGAGCAAGAAGTGGATTCTTAAGGAGCAAGTTTACCTTTTGTCTCTTCTCTTGTTCTTGCTTTTAGTGTTCTATCTTGATTTTGTTTGGTCTTTTGACCAAAATCATGAAGCAAATTTAATACTAGTTTGAAAGTTCAGAGGGTCGTTGAAGTTCCCAAATGTAGCGGTTTTTTCTTGCTAGAGTTTGCTTTTTTGTTTTCATTCTCCACAACCGTTTGATTTGATGCACATGATAAAATATACAGTGATAAAAAGTTGAATAAAATGTTCGAGAAAAATATGATACGATACATAGTATTCTAGTACATATAAAAGAAGTATGATAACATTGTCTTTTAATATACACATAATATGATATGATAGGATAATTATATTTATATACTATATATGTGTATAAAGAAATGATATATAGACAACTGAAAAATTATATTAATTTATAAAACTTTTAAAGTAATTTATTTACATTTTTAATATAAATTTATTTTTTAATATTTTATAACAATAACAAAGTTGTATCCCATTAAGAAGAATCTAGTTATATGAATCAACTTTAATCATAATATTATATCTAAGACCATTCTTCTATTCAAATTTTTAATATCGATATCTTTCTTAATAATACTTTTTATAATTTTTTTAAGTCTTCCTTTCTTTTTTTTAATAAATTTTCTTCATTTGAATTACTCTTACCATAAAATTTAGAAGTCTTTTCTCTACGTACTCAAATCACCTAATTATATTTTTCACAATCTTTTTTATTATGAACTCATTTAATGTGCAAGATAAAATAGAAACATGATAGAATATAAAGTAGAATAAAAATAGGATATAATATAGATAAAATAAAATTATTCTATTATGTGTTTGATTCACACTGCATACTAAGTATATATATATATATATATATATATATATATATATATATATATATATATATATATATATATATATATATATATATATATATATATATATATATATATATATATATATATATATATATATATATATATATATATATATATATATATATATATATATATATATATATATATATATATATATATATATATATATGATAAATTTACCTTTGTAAAACAACTGTATTTTTTTAAAATTATTTTGTAAAATGTTTTAAAATTTATAAATTGATTAAAAAAATTAATAATTTTATATAATTAAACAAAAAACTTAATGACACTACTGAATAAATAATTTCAGTTTTTTTTTTTTGAAAAAATCATGAATTCTAATATATAAAATAAAAGTATTTATATACAATATGTTAATGAAAAACTACTCTTACAAAAAAATATATTTAATTTGATAAAGAAATAAAATTAGTACTCATATTTTTAAAATTAAACTAACTATTCTAATTTTAATTTTTATATTATATAAAGTTACAAAATTACTCTTATGACAAAATCATACATATTTTTTAAAAATTATTTATTGATATTTCTTAATTGAATATCAAAATAATATTTATTTACATTTTATCATATTTATTTTTTTGATTTTAAATTATATTTTATAGTGTAAATTTGTAAATTAGTTTTTTTATCCTATTAAATTCTAATCCAACTCATATTCAAAGTAAAATTTAAACTAATGACAGAATAGGATAAATTTCAGGATTAACTTATCATTTCATGTTTTGTCATCAAACACTGGATTAAGATAAGTTATGATACATATCCTATTTTATCTCTTATCCTGCACACCAAACATACCCTATATATGCTACCCAACGATTCTCTATAATATTTTAATTTACAATCTTATCATGTATATTTTTATCACACTTCCAACGCAACTTCCTCATCTCTTATATGCTTACTTTAATCTCGTGTTGATTCTTAACCGCTCAATATTCGGTTTCTTACAACATCGTAGGTCTCACCGCAATCTTGTAAAAATTTTCCTTCATCTTGAGTGGTATATTTGTGTCACATAAAACACCTAAAGCCATTTTCCATTTCAGTCACCCAACTTGAATTCAATAGTTTACATCCTCTTCTATTTCTCCACCATTATGTATTACAGACTAAAGATATTTAAATTGTGTGACTTTAGGGATGATATTGCCTCCAACTTTCACCTCTATGTTAGAAACATTTCTTCTTTTGTTGAAATTACATTTTATATACTCTGTCTTACTTTTACTTAGGCGAAAACCGTGCATTTCTAAAGCTTATCTCAAAGTCTTCAACCTCTCATTTAAATTCTCCTTTGACTCTCCATGTAGGCATATATCATCTGCAAAGAGCATGCATCTCGCTGTTAGCTCTTGGATGTGTTCTTCTTTAAGATTTTCTAAGAAATCTCTTTAGGCACTTTATCACACGTCTTCTCCAAGTCAATAAAAATTAAGTGCAGATCTTGTTGGTCAATCAAATACTCTTCCATCACACGTTGTAGTAGATAGATCGTTTTTACAATCGACCTACAAATCATGAAACCAAATTAATTTCTAGTGACTTGAGTCTTTTTTTCTTAATCTCCGTTCAATCACTATTTTTCATAACTTATGGTAATGACTTATAAACTTAATTTATCTATAATTTACGCAATTTTGTATATCTCATTTTGTTCTTATTGATTAGAATTAAAATGTTTCTTCTCATTCATTCGGAATGTGTTTTGATCTCATAATTTTTAAATATTTTAGTTTTAATACATTAGTTATTAATTTTTCATTTAAAATTAAGTTTATTTATTTATATTATATTTAATTTTAATTTCTCATATTTTAAATATATTTAATTAAGTTTATTTATAAATAACTTATTTTCTTATTTTATTATGTTGGTTCTTAATATATCTTGAATAATAATTTACACTAAAATATGACAACCATAGAGTTATCTTATCATAGTGTTATCAAATATCAATTGAAATTTATTTAAAAAAATAACAAGTTGAAATAATATGATATTTGGATCGAGCTCTAATCTTGATATGGATAATTTTATGATTTGATAAATATTTAGCATGTTGTCGGAATCTATTCGTATGCTGATTATGCATGCTGTAGTCGAAGTATGTTCAAACATGCAATAGTCGAAATGTTAAAATTGTTAGTATGTCAAATTTGACCTTATTTGTAAGCTCAATTGTTAAATTAGCTTACAGTCTAAATTAACTTAATTTATAAAAATATTTGTTTTTATTTACTTGTACTCATTGGATCTTTATTGAGTAACGGAATAGTAAATCCGTTTTAATCAACTCTAATTTTTTTTTTTTTTCATAAAATCTAATAGAATTTTTTGTGTTTGTTCAAAAATTTATTTTCACATATTTTAATTTATTTTTGGCGATATTAATTTATAACAAATAAAATAAAATATAATTATTATATCTTATCATCTATTTAAAAATATTGTTACGCATCAATCAAAGCAAACAAGAGTGGAAAATCAAGTTTCCAAGGATAAATTTGGTATTTCCAATTACCATTGCATGAGAGTGGTGACCCACAACACTGAGTTTAATTTCCAAGGGTTAGGTATAATCTTAAAATATCAACATGCAAATGCATGTCAACGATTGGACCTTTCTTATGCCTCTATAATTCACTAAAATAATATAATATGTTTATGTAATATTTATTTGTAAGTGGATTGATCAAATTTTAAATATTAAATATTTAACAAACCTAAACTCAGATTGAACTGAAGTGGTGCATTAATTATTGTTTTGAAAAACTTGGATATATGGATACATGTCGCTGGAATGACATGAACATTAGTAGTGTGGTGTAGCTTAGATACCACAATATGTGGGGTTTGCTGCCCCATTTGGGTCCAAAAATGTGATTTTTCTTATGGAATGAAGAGAAAATTCCTCCAACAGAAGTTTGGAAATATATTATTTTATAGTTATATCATTTATTGTTGTGAATAGGGTGTTTTGAAATAAAATATAAAAAAAATTTTTATGATTAAAAAATACATCAGAGTTAGGATTAATAAAAGAAAATAAGTTAAAACAATAAAGATTGGTTATAAACTGTTATTCTTTCCTTACTTTTAGAATAAGATTACAAGTATACAAAAATAACAAAATAATCTCTCTCTCTTGAATTAGGATTTTATCTTCCTATTTTTCTTTATGCCAAGATTGAGAAACTAATATTCTATTTATAAGAAAAATAGAACACTAGCCTAATAGATTTTTTAACAATTACCCATTACAAGCTAACTTATGGTACAAGCTAACTTAAACAATTGGACTTACAAGCAAGACCCAATTCAACATGCTAATAACCCTAACAATATTGACTAATGCATGTTAGAATAAACTTCGACTACAACACGCATTACTCCGACAACAGCATGCAACATACTTCGACCTCATGCTTAATTCCTGTCCAACCAGAAGCTACCATTCGATCATACTAGAGTTCGATCCAACGTCTCACAAAATTTTAAATAAAATAACACATTTTTATTATTTATTCATATCATCTCTTAAACTATTTAAGAAAAATTGACAATTTACTCCGAGTGAGAAATTCAAACCCTTAACATTTAAATTTATTTTGTTATTAAGCAAGTTTATTAGGTTAAATTTAATTATGATTTAAGAAATTTTGTAAAGAGTATAATAAGTGTTCTCTTTTATGAGTTTTATTCGTTTGTCAAATGTGTGAGGCTACTTTCTAATAAGTTCTGGCATGATAGAACTGGAACATCAGTTTAACCTCAGTTTTTAAATTAAGTCTTAAATGCAAAGGAGGTTAAAAGGATTGAAGGTCTATGACATTATAGCAAATGTTACAACAATTTGAGAATTGGAGTGTAAATGAACTTTGAAACGTAAATAGATAAGATCAAACACTACAAGATAAAGTTCTGCAAAAGTTGTCATGTGTAAAATAGCGCTTGTTATTATCTGTTTGCACAACAGACCTGCCACAGGACGTGTTGTCCCTGCTGTTGCACTCCAAAATTTGCCCTCACTTTTCCTAACCCAAATTGGCATATTGCTTTGATTTCATATGCATCTCCATTAGGTCATAACCTTGCATTCATTCATTTGTATTGAGCTCCTAAGACATGAGATCAAAGGATTTTCTTGTTATTTGCGTTTTCCCTATTCAGAGGTGATTCAGTTGGTTCCTACTTCAATCAAGTTGAAATAATGGTTTGAGCTCACAACATCATGAACATTTTTCTATCATAGTTCATTAAGTATCAAGGCTTTCCTCTGCCAAGATTTATCAAGCGTCAAACTTATCTTCTTCAAGATTTCTCAAGAGCGTCATATGCTTAGGTTTTCTTCTTTGATTCAACTGAGAATGCTATTAAGCTAGGGTTTGATGTTTCAACTTCTCAAGTCACTTCTTCAACATTGTGCACCAAATGCAAGTGAATTAGGGTTTATTTCTCTAATCACGTAGACTTCCAGGAAGGGTTCCATATAAATTTGTTCATCATATAAATCTCAAGGCTTCGACCACGATTTATAGATCATGTTATCTTTCTTATGTTATGTTCATCAGTTAAGACAAATTTTTGGTCAAGGTAGCACGTGGTGCATCATTCACAGAGATCTCATCTTTTATCTATTCAATTATGTGTTGCCTGCAAATTAGTTGAGGGATTCATTCAAGTCCAAGGTTCAATATCCATTCATTAACCATTTTATCCACTTCTCAAAATCCACATCCATGTTCTCAACCCATGTCCATATCCAATTGGGTAACCATTTACAACCCTTTTTCATTCTTACCCACTTTTAGATACAATCCATAAACCAGTTATTTTGTTTTTAAACTCATTCCAAAACCAACACCTTGAGCGAAGTTTGCATTCTGAAGATGACGAGTTCCTCTCATTACCTGGAAGAAGAAGTGGGAATGAGCAATGGCACAAATCCAGATCTGAAATTGGTTCTGGTAACCTAAGTTCATTTGATTGTCTAGTTTGTTTGTGTGTAGACAAACATGTGCCTAAGATTTATAATGCATTTTGTCCAGTGCTACATCAATTTATTGAGGAAGAGCTAACAAAGGATGAAGTTGTCAAAGTACTTGGGATTAGGAAAGGAATTTTGTTGGATCTTTGCAGTCCCCCTTTTAAATCAAGAAGGGCCTCCATTGATTCGATTCGAAACAACCCAAAGTTTTAGAAACTTTTTCCATCTTTTCATAGTTTACTTGATGCATTTTCACTTGAAAAAAAGTGAGTACAAATGGGAGGGTTGAAATTTGTTTGGCAGGTAACCCTATAGTAACTTCTTTAGCATTGCTCGTTGTGTTAAACACTCTAGCTGATATGGTTCACAATCTTAAAGTGTGAAAACTATGGGAAAGATATGTTTCTGTAACATCAACATTTGATGGAACTCAAATATCAAAATGGAAATAACGCATAAGCAAAAGACAAAGCTTCATGACATTCTGCTCAAAAACCAAATTCACAATTAAGTTCAGTCACAAACATGTAACGGTCCCACATCGGCTCATTAACATAATAGATTACATACAAAAGAAAAATTCATGACAAAAAGATTTCACACCAGGAAAATATTCATAATAGAATTTCATTACATAACTACCACACAAAAATTTAAAAGAAGGAAAATCTCTAGCAGAAATTACAAGAGCAGAAGAAATTTCATTACATAACTCATAACAGATTTCAGTTACAACCGAATTTTTCACTCTATAAAATTCTTCTTCACTCTCACTTCCTTTCTCTCTTCATATTCACTTCTGTTTCAACCTTTTGCATCTCTCTCGATTCAAGCTTCCTATCTCTCAGATTCAATCTTCACCAATTCTTCATCAAAATTCATCCTTCCTTCCCTCAACTCTTGAATTCATCAATTCTTCAAATCTGTAACAAACTTCTCATCATCGTCTCCAAAATTCTTCAAAACCGTAACAAACTTCTCATCACCGTCTATGAAAATTTTCATCTACAGATAAAAAACATCACAACAAACTTTAAGGATCCTTCAACCGCAACATAATTTCTTCAATGTACCAAGCAATCAAAATCTAGCAGAATCATTTTTCATTCGCCATCAAATACCGCATAAAAAGTTCACCAATTCACAACAACAACACCATAACAATAACATAGAAGAAGCAGAAGGAGAAGTGAATCGGGGAGAAAGAGAAGGCAGAATTGAGAATGAGAAATTTACACATACCTGAGTCGGTGTTCTCTGATTTTATCTTCATTTTCGTCAAGCTTGAAGAACCATCGGTGTTGCTCCGGTAGGTAAGTCACATTGAACTTCGAATTTTCGCTTTTGTTTTTATCTCTTTTTCTGCAAATCTGTAAGAGATGATGAATGGAAGTGAATCTACAACTTCACCATTGGTGTTAGAGATTGAGCAAGCGTAAGTAAGTGGTCCTTTTTCACGGTGTCGCAGCGAAATCAGACAAAAGAGATAAGAAGGGAATGGAGAAGTCATTAGAAGCGAGGGTGAGCGGCAGAAGAGAAATGAAGATGATGATGAATGGAGGTGCGCCAGCGCAATTTTGAAAGGAGATGAGAAAAGTTGAAAAAGGTTGACGACGCAGAAGGAGAGGGGGGATAAGTCTGAGGCAAAATTTTTTACCCCATACCCCTACACTAAAACTTTTTGGACCAAAATACCCTTGTATAAATAGTTATAATTTTAGAAATTTTACTTTCCATTTCATTTGCATTTGAAGACTTCTGGAACTACCATTTTTCATCTACAAATCAGAACACTTAGCATAAGTCTTCTGGTACACAAAGTGTAAACCGAAACACATTTTAGAAGTCTTCTGGTTCAGAAAACATATACTAAAACTCTTAGAGTAAGTCATCCGATGCTGTAAGCTTTCCAGAAGTCATTGATGAAGACTTCTGGTTTTTGTTTTTTTTGTTTGTTTACCTGAAGACTTTAAGTATGTCTTCCAGTATTATGAGTTTTTTGAATTCACCAGGCAAATACGGTATGATCCCTTTTCGCGAACTAGGACAGGGCAAACCATCGAGAATGGATGAAGAAGAGCATATTGATGCATCTGCATCAGCAACCGAGCCTGTTGGATATCCAGGAGGACCGTACGATCCCTCTCTTTTAGTTAAGTACGAACATCATATTGCTAGACATATATGGTTCGGTGAGGTAAGTAAACGAAAATTATTTAATATTGAATAAAATTCAAATTTTTAATGTTGAACTTTATAATATATTTACTTTTAATTGTTTTCAGGAGAGAAGTTCGAAGAAAGAGTTAAAGGTAGCAGGACATGGGTTGAAGTTGATTCATAGGGTTCCACTACAGCTACCAAGAGAGATTGAGGGTTGGATATCTAGGTCTGGTCTAGCTTCACTCCAGAGAACTAGTTTGACAAAGATAGACACGAACCTAGTTTCTGCAATGAATCTAAATCCACAATTACCATTTGATACAACATTAACTACATCATCAATATATGACCTGATGTGATTAAGAAACTGAATGATGAACTGCTTAGATGACTGTGAAGATTGTGATGATTTCAACTTCTTCGAAGCCCGTGATGGTTAAGATTTCTTTTGTGAAGACTGTGATAATTTCAACTTCTTTGAAGTCCGTGATGGTTGAGGTTGCCTCTATGAAGATTGAGATGCTTGATCAACATACTCATGATACGAAGGGTCTCTATAAACATCATACCCTATTGATTTTTTGCCTTTATTTTTGACTCCCCCTTTAGTTTTTATTTTCTCAGGTGGTGGACACATAGAAGTCATTGTAGGGAAGGCAAGTTCAAAAACCCTACTTTTTATAAAATGCATCTCGAGACACTGAACCACGTAAATTATTGTAAAATGAACTTACGTGGGCGTGCTCAATTTCATAAAAACTCTTTTGAAAAGAAGCTCTAATTTTGCTCAGTTGTAACTTTAAGTTGTCATTCATAGCCTCCCAAAATTTGACCATGTCACCAATATTGTTCTCCAACATTTGCTTTAACTTCCAATGAGCAAACTCAACCCTAAAATTAATACATATTAAAAATATTTTAAAAAAATACAAAAAGATATAAAATTTATAAATACTAAAAATAAATACATACCGATTAGTCGTGGTGTTACCCAAACGTAGCACTCGATTAATCCATGCTTCAATAAATCTTTGTCTATGTGGTGTCAACCATATGTCCTTCACATAATCAATAAATTCATTACAATCAAAACACGCCTACTCAAGTTGGTTCAACCTTTGATCATACTCAACCTCATCACTAGCCCATACAACATCCGTCCATAATTCGTCAATTTTCTTTTGCATGTCACTAGCCACATATTATTTCTGTTTTGCACCAAAATTCTTGTTAATATGAAATCGGCATAGCAAATTGATCGACCTTGGAAACACAATTTTAATGGCTTTCATCAAACTAAGATCTCTATATGTCAAAATCACTTGTGGACATAAATCTTTCTTCACAAACAATTGTTTAAGCTTATCTAGCACCCAACAAAAAGTCTCAGTCTGCTCAGACTCAATATACGCAAATGCGATAGCAAAAGTCATCTCAGTTGATGTCATGTAAATAATTTTAAACAGAGGTTGCCTATATTTGTTTGTCTTGTAAGTGTTGTCCTTAACTAACACAATAGGAAAAATATTCAACAAATTAACTGAATTTGGATGAGCCCAAAATATATCTCTAATAACTTCAGAGTCATCTTTTTTTCTACTCCAATAAACATAACATGCATCCTCAATAAGCTTAAACAAATGTTGTATCTCACTTCTAGGACCTCTTATATTTTTTTCTATCATACTTTTCTGCTTGTATATTTGCGTGATCCGAGTGACATTGTCTGGATCTTTCTCTTGCAATGAAAGCAATATATGTCTCGGTGGAATCTTTCTCTTTGTCAAATCAACAACATGTTGCTTCTGATCCGATGTCAACCTACCAACAAATACGTGACCTTCTAATCTATCAGGTAGACCATGGTTATGAACTCCAAATTTTACATTAATCTTCCATCCAGATCCATCATTCGCTGGAATTGACCTGATTCTAAATGGACATCCACATTTTTTCGCCGCACTCTATGTTCCACTATTAATATCTTTGTGTTTTCCACCTTTATCACATCCAAATATTAATTTGTTACTTCTTCCTCTCTTGCCTGTTTCAATATCTGAACAAGTGATGATAACTGTTACTTTATTTCAAATTCAGATCTCTTTAATACATCTTATCACCTCTTCTCGTGTACCAAATCTTTGAGTAGTTGAAAAAATATCAGACGTATCTACACATATCTGATCTTTATTGCATATTTGTGAAGGAATTTCTGTACCTGCATAAATTTTTTGATGAACATGAGTTTATTTTATGCAAAGTGAGTTATGTTTCTAGCTTAGGTGAAATTTACCATCGATATTAACAATGTTGATTCAAGATCGACACTAATCAACAACGTTGATTCGAGACCAACCCTTCCAATCCAAGAAACACCATGATCATAATATTTGATCCACGATATTGCATCATGAAATCACATACGAAACTTCATTCCATCGTAGCCTCTGTGATTTCCTCCTTTTTGGTTCCGCAATAGAACATGTAGGATTATTGTTTTTATAAGAGAAATTTGGGTGATTTATCCATCCAGGATTATACGTGTTGTAGTATGGGTTCTCTTTTGCTTGTTATGTGTAATTTACCTGGTATAGGGAGGGATTAATTATTAGTTGACAATCAACAATAGTGTATCCAAGGAATCCACAAAGATCATAACTTGGGGTCACAACGGCTATGGTAGGTGCATGAGAGATGCTTAATAGTGCATCCATTTTCACGTTCGTGTGGTCGAAGTTACTAATTTGATACATGTCGCCTCTTAATTGAAACTTCTCAACGGGAATGTGTTCTCTCCCCCGCTGGTAATAATTATGAGCCATATATTCTATGAGTGCATATGCATCATCGAACGGCTTGTTCATGAGAGCCCATTTTGTAACAACATCTATGGTCATTCTCGTGTTATAGAGCAGACCATTATAGAAGGCGTGAATAATCACACACTTTTCTATATTATGATGTGTGCATGCTATCATTAGCTATTTAAATCTCACTTATGCTTTAAAGAACGATTCACCACCCATCTGCCTGAAGCAGGTAATCTGGTTCCTCAATTGTGCGGTCTTTCTCGACGGGAAATATCTAGCGATAAATGCTTTATTAAGATCATTCCATGTAGTAATGGAATTAGATTGTAGGAATTGTAGCCACGGTCTAGCTCTGTTCCCGAGAGAGAATGGGAATAAACATAAACTAATGGCTTTAGGATCGACGCCATTGCTAATAAGTGAATTAAATAACTGTAAGAAGACAGAAAGGTGCAAGTTCGGATCCTTCGTCAATGTTATGGAAAATTAGTTATGCGGCACTATCTACATCATAGAGGATTTAAGTTCGAATTATTCACCACTATTGCAGGGCTAACAATGATTGAATTAGGATCCTCATCAGAGGGAAAAACAAAATCCTTAAGCAGGCGGTTTCCGTTCTCTGCCATCTCTCTTTGGATTTGTTGTAATCGAAATCTTACTTGAAGGTAGCGTTAGATTTTGTCAATCAGTTGGGATAGATTTCCGATGCTTTGGTGAAGCTAGCAGGATCACACCTGAGTAAATCGCACACTCAAAGATACAACAAAGTCTCCACTAAACTTTATTTAGTGCCAAAGGACAGGGAAAATATCGATAAAACTCGAGGGAAGAGAAACGAGTAAGGGAGTCAGTTATGCGAAAGGAAGGCACTAACACCTTACGCATCCATCGTACTCGACAGGAACCATTTCGTTTGCTTCTAAGCTTGTGTTTGTCACACCCTTATTTTCGCTTTTAGCCTTTATACCCTACATTCGCCATACCATACATAATTTTATTGCATATCGAGCATGTGGATACAGATTGGGTCGATTTGTCATTTTCCATTTCAAATTAGATAACTTGTTTATCTTGAACTACATGGAAGAAAAGGTTCATTATCTAAGGTTTGATCTAAATTGGAAAGTCTACTCATGTGGATTTCTCCAAGAAGAAGTTACTTGACAAAATATTAGGATATTCAAGATATATTCCTAATGACCATGAAATGCAAGGCATGACTCAAGATTGCTTCATCCAATTTTGTTATAAATCCTTGATCAAGTGGAGTCCAAATTTGCAAAGCATGAGTCAAGTCCATAATTCAAGACTTCATCCATTTCAAGCTTAATGGTTCTAAGGAAATGCATCATGAATTCAAGATTAAAGGCAAGAATATTACAAAGAGAAATTTTATGACATTACAAGAATGTCATTTGTTGCAAGATTTCCAACTCTAAGTAATGTTTAGAAATTAATTTATTTCTAATACTTCATTCAAGTCTCTAGTCAAATTCATGTTATGGTAATGCCACACAAGTCCACATTATGCTTACAAACATCTAAGAAATATGCAAGAATTAAATCAAGTTTGGAATGTTTTAAGACCAAGATTATGCATGTTCAATCATGGCAAAACAGTCTCATGCAAGAGGTGACAAATTTCTTCATGTCACAAGATCACATGTCACAAGACCAAGGGAATAACATGTGACAATGCTTCTACATATCACAATTTTCAAAATGCTGTTAAGAGTTTGTGGCATTGACCAAGAGGAGCTGTCCAAACACATACCAACAAAATGGGTGCAAGGCACAAGGTGCTGCAGAAAAACAGCATAGGCAAAGTGCAACAGCAAAAATGCAGCATAGCTCTTGCATGGAAATGGAAAGAAAGAGAGTGGCATGAGAAAAGGTGGTAAGAGACACCACTCCATGAAAAATCTGATATGTAGGGAGAAGTGAAAACCCTAGAGGAGCTGAGATAAGAGGAGGGGGCTGTAAACAAAAAGGGATCACTCTTCATTGATTCAACATCCATTCTACACACATTTGCAAAACCTGAAAATAGAGAGAGCTAACAAAACCCTAAAAACCAGAAAAATAGGAAGCTTTGCAAACCAGAAAAAAGAGAGTGATATAGAACCAAGAGGATCGTTGAGAAACAAAACCTTCACAGCATAGAGTGAAGAGGAGTGAAGTACTTTCAACCAAGACCAAGGAGGACTTGCAAGAAGGATAGAAAGCTCTTGGGTATCCATTTCCTCCAACCTTTCTCCCTTTTTTTTTGCTCTTACATTCATTTTGTTTACTCTTTTATGTATTGTCATATTGTATGTTTCATGTAAGGTTCCAAAGGGACCAAGAAACCGTTCTTAAGAAACCACAAGAACGAAAGAAAAAACATAGAAAAGTTAGGTTTTTTTCCCTCTGGTAGCCTGACACGGGCCGTGTCATACAACACGGCCACTCGTGTCATCCAACACGGGCCGTGTCACACAACACGGCCACCCGTGTTGCACCTCTGTTTGAGGTTTCAACATCCAAAAACCCCAGGCCTCACAACA